GTTTGAGAGAGAGAAAAAGAAGTTGGATGGGTCCAGAGGTAGAGAAGGTCTGGGGGGCTGGCGGTGAGTTGAAGGAGAGGAAAATGATCAAAATACATTGTATGAGCGTAATTTTTAAATTAAAAAAAAAAACTATGTGTGGATGTTGTCCTGAAGTTCAATGTTGCCCACAGGCCTAAGAGAAATCCGGGTGCTTTCTATGCTGAGTCAATCCCGTACAATCCAGTTGTCCATGGTGGTAAAATTTTGTTTTCTAGAAGCAGGTCAGTCTTAAGCCAGAAAGACCCAGCTTGCTCAATGACAACATATAACGCAGAACACACAAGTAGGGGCATCCCCAAAACAGCAGAGCAGAGCGTAAGGAAGATGAGGGGCCCCTGACCCATGGGTTCATTCATTCAGCCAGGGAGCAACCAATACTTAGGCCCTTTGATACCCTCCTGCCTTGACCCTAGAACACAAGCGAGACCGGTATTATCATTGTGGGGCCTGAAAGTGGGGGGACTCTAGCACAAAAATTTACAAACTGGAAACAGCCCGGTATTAAAACTATGGTGAAGCTCTTCTAAGCAGGGGCCTCCTTAGTCACAGGGCTTCTTTAATCCTGGGTACAAGCGACAGCCCTCCCCAGCTCCTGGGCCAAGCCTCTGCTAATGGCCTGAGGGTAGGGGTGGGAAGAGCTGCTGCTCTGGGGGTGAAACAGGGACCCTCCCCATGTCGTCTCCAGTCCCCCCCCCCCCCGCTCCAGTGAACACAGAGTCCCCGTGTTGCCACGGTAGAGACGTCACTCTGAAGTGCTCACCACCCTGGGGACAGCTGTCCCAGAAAGAGAAAAATCTCTAGTATGAGGAGTCACTGAGATGAAGGAGTGTGTGTCGTTGTAGCAAATATGCAGAGGAAGGCCAACCGGAGAAGGAAGGCTGTGAGTCTGGAACCAGGGAAGGGAGATCAGATGATGCTTCTCTTGCGTTAGTTTTCCCATCAGGTGGCTGTTGGACACTGACCCTTACTATGTTACAGAATGCACGGTGTGTGACCTTTCCTAGATTCGTTTATTTTCAGAAAGAATTATCCTAACATATATTTTCCCTCTGATACCTGCTGGTCTTTTGGCCCATTGTAAACCTTACTCCATTCTCGGTTCAATGGGAGCCACCAGAAGCTCCAGAAGCCAGGAGGAAAGACATCTTCTGGGGACACTGTTCTGCACAGACTCTGTTTAAGCAGATGGACTTTAATGTGTCACCAAGCACTGGTAGTTTATCCCTCCGCCCCCACAAACTCCAACTGATAGTGCGAAGAGTCAAATTGCTTCAACGTCTCTGAAACTGGCCCTTTTTGTCTTCATGTTGACGACTGTTTAGATACCGCCCTCCTTCAAAGTTGTTCCTCGTTGCTCTCAAACACAGGGTTGCTGTAGGACACCCCCTGCATGTCAGAGCAGGAGGTTTGGTTTAGTGGGGGCCAATTTGAGTCATTTGCCAAATTCCTCTGCCATATCCGATACTGGCTTTTTGATTGATAACCAAAACATCTCTTGACGGCTAGCCACAACGCCCGGTTTTCAATAATAGTCTCCTGTAAGATAAAAGATAAACAATTTTGTGATTTAAGTTATCCAATTCCATAGATCACAATCAGATACTCTTTCAGTGTTTGCTTGGATCCAGCTTAACAAAAGCCTGGGACCTAAATAAATCTTAAGAAGTTTTGCAGCTGGATTCTCAAACTTTTCTACTTAAGGAACTCAGTTACAAGAAGGGGTTTTCAAAAACCTGGAAGTTCAGTTGGAAGCAGCCTACCTCCAAGACAGTTCTTGGAAATCTCACATCTAAATTAAATTTAAAATCATTCAAATACTGTATTTCACACCATACTACATCCAACTTCATGCTTATAAAATGACATTTTATAAAAAAAAGTTTTAGCATCTCATAGAACCAAAAGTGTGAGAAGTTGCATGATGTGTCTTTGATACACTTCAGCAAGGTATTGCCAACTGGGAGCACAGGCCAATGAAATTTAAAGAGAGGCCTCAGAATTGGGGTTAGAGAAATATAGGTTTACTTCATAACTGTAAGACTATGGCCAAGTAATTAGTCTGGCACTTGTGACCAACTCCCAGCACTGAAGAAGGAAGTCTATAAGCCTGAGCCGGTTGAGCTAGAAATAATAATCCCTTCCTTGTATGTGCTGTAAGGATTATACAGCTGCCCTTACAATGCGGGGCAGAGCAGGGCAGGGCTATCACCCTTGCCAGCCCCCTGAACTTCTCTTTTAACTAAAGGTTGTGTGCTAAGGCCCTGCCTAACTTGCCTTCACCTTCACTGAAATGCCTTTTTAATATTATAAAAGTGATGCATCCATCACAAAAAAACATTTGGGGCTGGAGAGACAGCTCAGCAGTTAAGAGCACTAGTTGCTAGTAACTCTGGTAGAGGACCAGAGTTCAATTGCCAGCATAACACCGCAGGTCACAGCCTTCTGTAGCTAGAGTTCTAGAGGACCTGAAGTCCTCTTCTATCCTTCTTGGGTATCCCATGCACATGGTGTACAGATGCACATTCAGGCAAAACACAAATACAAAAAAAAAATCTATTACAAACACTTTGAACTGCCATTTCATTCCATGAAGTAGTATTCCATTAAGGAAAACTAGTCATAAGCCAAATCACAGGAGAGGTTCAGGAGTGTGCTCATGAGAATGTGTGTGTGTGTGTGTGTGTGTGTGTGTGTGTGTGTGTGTGTGTGTGTGTTCCATCTTATCATAGTTCATCCAAAAGTTGAGCATCTTAGATATTTTCATAAAAGAAAAGGAGAACAAACTGACAAAATTAGAACTGGTTTTGATGTCCATCCCGGGTATCTTTTGTGCACTGAGTTAATGAGGAACTATGGGAGATGTACTTTTCCTACAATCTGCCCATCTTTGTTATTTTAGTCTTATTGTCCACAGTAAAGATAGGAAGTATAGCTTGCCTGAGTCTTTACCTCTGAACACCGGTAGGCCTCTTGGAAGGAATTAAGACCCAGGGAGCCATCTTCAGCATCTGGCCAACCTGTTAGTCTGCCTGCCCGTAACAGGAGCACTGTAGCTCTCCTTGGAGCTGGGAGAAGGCAGGGGTACTGGTACCAACTCCGAGTTTTTAAAGTGCATTTCTTTGCACTTTCTGGCACACATTCAGAGTCACTTAAAGGAAAGACATCTTGCTGAGCCCATGACAGTCTTTATCTCCTCTCTTAGGTTCATTCACCACATGAGGCAGGAAAACAGCCTCCATCTTTCTCAATCATGATAGTCCTCTATCAAAGACTCAATAATTCTACCCTATCTCTAAGCACCTGCTGATCACAGAGAAAGGGGTTAGTGAACAACTGAATGTCATAGGAAAGGTGTCTCAAGTGTCTAATTTTTCAATATAGAAGTTGCTGGCAGCCCATAGCAAACACACATGTGTGTATCTTCATCTCTCACTCAACATGAGAACCAAAGACGTTGCCTTGCTCTTATGAGTATCAGTGACCCATCCCAACTGCTGGTTATGAACAAGGTCATTGCTGACATTTAATTTAAATGACTCTTACTTAGCCCCAACTAGAATTTTCACTGCAGTGATTGCAGGATTAAATGCAATAAAATGTAGAATTTTAAATGCAATAGCTACTAACCTAAGTTCTTGCCAGCAGAGCTTAATGGCAAGAGAAGGCATGAACGCACAATTAACTTTAGCATATGTCTGCTCACTGCCTGTAGATGGCAAGTCCCGCCCTCTGTTATCTTTCTCCTGGTGAAATACCCTGGGATATGTCACAAGGTCAGTGAACTGTTGTGGAAAGAACAAGTGTATAAAGACATGGTTGAAAGAGCGACAGAAACAAAGTAAGAAGTGGTGAGTGTCACAAGAGATGAAGATGGCTTCTTGCTTACACTGTGTTTTTCTTGTATTTGTTTTTGGATGTGTTTGAGGGGCCTTGTTTCTTTTTTATTTTTGCTTGCTTTGTTTAGGTTTGGACTTCTGAGACTGAATCTCTTTATACAGCCCAGGCTAGCCTCAAACTCTTGATCTTCCTACCTCAGCTTCCCAAGTTCTAGGATTACAGACAGGCAGCCCCACCATGTCCAGATAGGTTTATGACTATTCAACACTTACTCTGTGTTTCTCACTGCTCATATTTCCATCCGTATGTATATAAAGAAAGGTATGGTTACTAGTAACATGTTATAGTAGAGGGAACAAACCCAATGAAATAGAATAATTTGCCCAAAGTCAAGCATCAACGAAGAGCTGGAACCAGGATTCACACCAGAAGGACTGACTGTCTGAGCCTGTGCCCTTTGATGAAAACATACCAACTGGGGAAGAAAGAGAAGCAACTGTCTAAGCCAACCTGTCCGAGCATGGATTCCCTTACCCAGAATGCCTTTCTACTCAGAATAACAAGGAGACAGCCCTAACTAATGAGACAAATGAAAACATCAGCTGATGTGCCATCGGAAAACTTGTTTCCTGGTAGTATATTCATATCTGAAGAAGTAAAACCTCCCCTGTTTTCTGCCTATATACAGATGTTCCACACAACTGGGCTAGAGACCTGAGCAGGAAGCATGAAAAGACACAGTGAAGGTTGATGGTGCCGAGAGGTACAGACCTCTGGTATGTGAGAGTCCTAAAGTGTCCCCCTCAAACCTGGTTCCCAAATCAGTAAAGGTCTTGGCTGGTTAAGCTGCACTTAGCGAGTTTTGTTAATTGCCTAGCAGACCCAGGGGTCAGGCAAGATTCATGAAGAGGTCAGTCCTGCAATTGTGCTGTAGAGGATGGAACAGAATGTCAATATGCAGATATGGAAAAATATGCTCCAAATGGAAAGAGCAATCAGCAAGACATGTATGTGAGAGTATCCTTAAAAACAGCAGTTCTCAACCTGTGGGTTGTGAGCTCCCAAAGTATATCAGATATTCACATTATAATTCATAACAGTAGCAAAATTACAGTTATGAAGTAGCAATAAAATAATTTTATGGTTGGGATCACCACAACATAAGGAACCATATTAAAGTGTCCCAGCATTAGGAAGGTTGAGAAACTCTGCTTTCAATGGTGGGAACCCCCTTTCTGCAGCTCAATCTGAGGACACCCACATGAATCTGGTTGCTTTGGAGAATGTATGGCTTGGCATAGTGCTTTGAGTGTGTGCTGCCAGGACCCATCACAGTAGAATCACTCCGCAACCTGTTGGACGTGCAGGCTCTCACATCTACTGAGCCAGACACAGTAAAGGGGGGGGTTGATAATCTGTGCTTCCCATTTTGCCAAGCCTGCCAGATGAGTGTGGTGCCCGCTCTGTTGTGGCATAACCTGGTTTATCCTCCAGAGAGAGGGTCCAGTGCCCTGATTCGGGGCTCTGTTCTTCCACTGACCACTATGGTGGTCTTTGCTCTGCACAGGGTGGAATGTTCCCAGAGATTCTGTCCTCACAGCACTGGCTGGGAAGTCAGGTTGTAAGGAACCCACAGCCCACTGTAAATACCTCAGTTGCTGGAACACAATAGTTCTACAGTTCAGAGAAAAAAATGGAGACAGATAGAACTCCACATTTCTCTTCTCTACAGATGCCTTCATTAGGTACCACCTTCCAATACCAGGCTTTGAAGAAGGGAGATTATGTCTGATAATCACTGAGAGAAGAGAGAGTGAAACAGTTAGAGATAAAAGTGGGTACCTGCTCTTTTCACTAAGAAAACGGAGCAAATGTGAACTGTAGAAAGAAAGCTGTGAGAGCTCCCTGTGAGGCTAGTTTCCCATCACAGCTGGGAACAATACAAGCTGTTAAATGCAAGAAGCTAGACACAAAAAGGCCCATACCTCTGAAGCAAAATGGAGCACACCTACAATTCCAAACTCAATAGGCAGAGGCAGGAAGACTGGGGATTCTAACCAGCCTGGGTTATATTGTAAGACCCTGTCCTTAAAAATAAACAAACAAGTCGGGTGGTGGTGGCGGCAGTGGCGGCGGCGCACACCTTTAATCCCAGCACCCGGGAGGCAGAGCCAGGCAGATCTCTGTGAGTTCGAGGCCAGCCTGGTCTACAAAGCGAGTTCCAGGACAGGCTCAAAACTACACAGAGAAACCCTGTCTCGAAAAACCAAAAATACATACATACATACATACATACATACATAAAAATAAATAAACAAACAAACAAAATTGTGGGAATGGCTCACTGGTAGAGTGCTTACCTAGCATGTATAAGACTGTGGGTTAGTATTCAGCACAGAAGACAAAACAAAAAATAAAACTATGTACGAAATTATTTTATTTACCTGAAATTTCCCAAATAGAAAAATCCACAGAGACAAAGAGTGTTTTTGTGGTTGTCAAGGAGAGAAATGGAATGGAAATCAATTGCTAATGGGTTGCATGATTTCTTTGGGGGGAAAGAACGGGTTTTGGAACTAAGGTAATGTTGATGATTGAACACTCAGCGACTATACTAAAAACATTGAACTGTTTACCTTAAAATGGTGAGTTTTATAGTGCACAAATCATATCTCAATTTTAAATGTGAATCATTCTGTTTGTGCCTGTACTGGGGAATATGAAGAATGACTAGAACCTCAAGGATCATGACTACATCCTCCCCGCCACACTTCACAGATGAGAAGACCAAATGCTTGCTTCTTCATCAGAGAAAAGCAAACTGCACATTGTCCTATATACACTATACACATGCCATTTATATTCTAGAATTATTTAATCTGTGCGTGTCTGTGTATCAGCGTGTGAATTTGGACAAATACGTGGGGGTATCATGGAGGCCAGAATTGGGTGTCAGTTCACCTGGAGCTTGGATTACAGGTGGTTGTGAGCCGCCTGATGATGTGTGTGCACATTGTCCCACGCCTTTGCCCATGGAGTAAAGGAAGGACCATCACAGTGTTGAGCCTTTGCACATTGAAGTTGTTTCATTCTCAAGCTCCTGAAGAACTGGGCCCCACTCCCACACACACAACACCTAGCCTAGGGGCACTCACCTCCACAGCAAAGGACACAATAAAGTTGGAGCTGATCATGATGAGAATGTAGACTCTCCACAGGACAGGAGTGCAGAGCAGCTGGCAGAAGAGACAAAGGACAGTTAGTCTCAGAACACATGTGCTGGAAAAGTTACCATGTTCACACGGGGCATTTGTGTAAGCTATAAACCACAGTGGAAACACACACACACACACACACACACACACACACACACACAAGTGTAGCTGGGGGGTTAGATAACTTGTGTTCTTTTGGAGGCTCAACAGCTCAGTTCCCAATACCCACATTATCAGGTGGGCTCACAATTACCTATAACCCAAGCTCCAGGTGGACTGACACCCAATTCTGGCCTCCATGACACCCTCATGTATTTGCACAAATTCACACACTTGCACACAGACATGCACAGATTAAATAAATCTAGAATATAAATGGCACATGTATATAGTACATATTGCATACATATGCTTGTACATACACATATACATAAAAACTTTAAGTGTGGAAAACTAATACTTAATTATTTGAGGATTGTGACTGGGTTTTTTCCTTTCTTTTCTTTCTCCCTTAGTATTTCTTTTTTATCTAAAATTTCTACATTTTCTAATTTTGGTCACTTTGCAGTGAAAATAAATAATAGCAAACCCTTTTTATCTGATTGCTTTGTGTTGTTTTGAAGAGGGAATGCAGGAATGTGACTTTATTCCCAGGCATCTCTGAGGATATATGTGTGGACCTCCACTGTGGACAGGGTGGCCTTCTGCCTTCTGGTGAAATGTTTCTCTTCATTCAAGTCCTGCTTTGGAGTACCAGGTCAGGGATGCTCTCTTGAGACTGTGTCTATGGCGTCACAGCCTGTGGTCTTACAAGGGTACTTGCCAAAGGAGCACGTGGAGCTGAAATCAAGCTCTCTCCACACTTCCTCTGCCTTCTTCCAACCCCTCTTCAGGCACAGTTCTTGATATATAAGTGTGAGAATGAACTAATGGATGGATGGATGGATGGATGGATGGATGGATGGATGGATGGATGGATAGGTGGGTGGGTGGGTAGATGGGTGAGTGGGTGGATGGGTGAGTGGATGGGTGGGTGGATGGGTGGATGGGTGGGTGGATGGGTGGGTGGATAGATGGGTAGGTAGATGGATGGAAGGAAGGAAGGAAGGAAGGAAGG